CGTGACAAGGTTCGTCGAGCTGAATGATTGCTAGAGGCCCCACAGTGGGCGCCAAACTGTAGACGTAAAAATCTATCTGTACGGAAGGGGGGTCTAATCCCGTGAGGTTGAGGCCACTAGCGATCCGCTGCACTTGCACACGTAGAGAAACAAACGTGTGAAGCGAACAGGAAACACCAGGGTGGTGTTTGCCGTAGGCACTCCGACGCTCAAGTGAGCAAGGCTGAAAGATGCTAGTATAGTGAGGGCTAGGGAGTAGAGAGGTTATTGGAGGTCTAGTCGGAGACTGTGACTACGGCAGTGATGTGAAGCTCTCAAGTAGGAGCTTCGGGTGTGAATGTGTAATGTAATGTTCCTTGTGAGAGGGCTGGCCTAGCGACTGTCCAGTCTCCCAATCCTGGTGGGAGTAGGAGTCCTAGTGTAACTCTGATGCAAACCCTAGAAGAATTAGGGCCGTGGTAAGAATTTATCAGTGTCAGATAGGAAGGTGATCGTGATTAGGAAAGTAACTTCCGAGTAGGAAAGTGTTCTGAACAAGAAGGTGACCTCGAATAGGAGATTGTTCAGGAATAGGAAAATATTATGAGGGGGCCGGGGCTCTGGACTGTCCTGGACCTAAAGAATGAACTGGGATTAGGAGGCTCGTGCCCAGATGGTTTGGCGGCTGTATCTTGTATCAAATGGACCTAACAGATTGAGTCGCATCGGGATTGGGCTGGCTTCTCTTCCATATTAGGCTCGTTTTCTATTGGACCGAGGACGATTTTTGGCCCTAACAATATTGTATTAATTTTTATGATGAATATTATAATTAATTAAGTAATTATTTATTATAATGTAATGTTATAATTAATTAAGTAATTATACTATAATCTATAATGTAATGTTATAATTAATTAAATTTTTAATTATTAATTAAGAATGTACTAAATTACTAATGTAATTTATAAAACTTTAATTAATTAAGTAATCATTTAACTATAATATAATGTTATAATTGTTAAGTACAATGTTCTGAAAACCGGACCGGACAATGACCCGTTCAAGTGTCCGGTTTCCGGTTTGACCGGTTGGATCGGTCGGTTGGACCGTAATTTATAAATTACATTTTAGTCCCTAAAGGTTAAAATCATCAAAAACACCCCTAAAATACTCCCTTAAGGTTTGAAATCTATCAAAACACCCCTGTCATGCGAAGATTCTGGTGAGTGGTGACGGCAGCGACGATCGACGGCCAATCGAAGCTGGAATCTTGGGGCTTTTGATGTTTAGGTGCCGGCGACTCTGATGATGGTGCCAGGAGTTCCATCGGCGCCGGAAATCGCCGGAATCAACAAAAGAACTCTGACGTCGCGTGAAGTTTAGGTGGACGGCGAGCGACGATGGCTGGACGACGGCCGCTGAAAATGGCAGGGTTTTGTAGTGGAGATGCCGTCAAGTCCAATGGCGGTGATTTCTCCTCGATCGGTGCCGGAATCCGACGGATTCAACCGCGATTGGACCGCGATTGGACCGCGATTCGGTACTATTCTGGCGGTCCAACCGCGGTCCAATCCGGTTTAAATGCAAATAACGGTTTTTTTACTATTTCCGGACCGGAAATGCCGCCGGTCACGGTCGAACCGGTCGACGGACGGTCGGTCCGGTTTTCAGAACCTGATTAAGTAATCATTTAACTAGTAATATATTAATGTTTATCAATTTATTTTATATAATTAATTAATTACTAATTTATTGCATATATACTTAAAACTTGATAATTGAAGTAAATAACTAAATAAAATATTATTATTCAATCAAATATACTATTATATTCAAAAATAATTATTTTAATAACATTAAAATACTTTTAATTGGTTTTAATTCAAATTATACACTTAATTAATCAAAAATTTAATATTAATATATATTATAGTATATTAAATATTTTTATATGGTGTAGTTTATATGTAATAAGTATAATTGTATATTTATTTAATTAGGTTATTGTAAAAATTTAACCTTTTCCATTTTATTTTTTATATGTAAAATTACAAGAGACCCCCTATCCTTCATATATATTTCATTTCAGCCCAGGTTCCAAAATAGGGTACCCGCTGCAGGTTCCAAGCCGGGTACATACTGCAAGTTCTTTTTGCAAGTTCCGGCTCCTCCACATGTAGGAACTAGAACTGGAACCGCACAGTATCGGTTCCAAAAAAAATGGAACCGGAACCTATCCGCACAGTGTCGGTTCCGATTCCAATTCCAGTTCCAGTTCTACCCGTGTTCACCCCTAGTTTTTATTCGTTTGCTCATATGAGTAAAGCTCAAGTCAAAATGCTCTAATGATTATAGTAAAGTATTAAATATTTCATAGAAATATCATAAATCCCTTGTAAATATCAAAACCCCCCTAAGGATAAAGGCATTTAATTTTTTTCGATAATTATTGTTAGGGTGTTCAAAAAAATGCAAAAACCAAATCGAATCGGTAACCAAACCAATTTTCCGGTTATTCGGAAAATCAGTTTAGTTTGGTTCAAAGAAATACAAAAATTGATTTTTTGGTTCGGTTATCGGTTTATGAGAATATGGAAACTGGTTAACCGAAATCGGTTTATTATAAAAATATCTAAAAAAATCTGGTTTATTATAAAAATATTAAATTAAAACTGATTCAAAACCGATTAATAGGTTTTTCCCTTAACTAGTTTAGTTTCGGTTCAGGAAAATTTTTGAATCGAAAAACCGGTTTGGTTCACAAAATCGGTTAACCGGTTTTGAACACCCCTAATTACTATGACATTTTTTGACTTAAGCATTACTATGGGAGCGTATGAAATTAGCCCTTCTACTTTCCAAAAGCATAATTGACTACCTAAAATTGGGATTAAGATTACACGATGAAAGGGGCATATATTTTAGGAATTTCCAATTACCTCTTCTAAGAAGTTATTAATTTTTCAAAGCATAACTTCAATCATTGTCAAAATTGTGATGGATTGATCCACGTTGGTCTTTCTTCTATTTTTTTGGGTCTTGATTATATCAGTATATATGCTAAAATCCTCAGCCGTTGATATTTATATTTGTTTGCAATAATACTAGATGTATAAACAAATCTTACAAAGATTTGTATATTTATATTTGTTTGCAATAATACTAGATGTATAAACAAATCTTACAAAGATTTGTGTATAAACTGATGTGACAAAAAATGAATGAAAGAGTGAATACAAAAAGTCAAATTCATCAAATTCACTCCTTCATTCATTTTGCGCCATATCAGGGTTTGTTTTTACATGTAGTATTACTCATTTGTTTGATAATTATATTCAATAAATATAGGCTTACAAACGCGATGTGATAGCTCGCATTTGATCAGGTGAGACCCATTGTTGGGAGATGAAATCCATTGCAAGTTGACACATTGCATTTGTAGGAGAAAGTGTTTGTCAACATAGTATTACTCGATTGTATTTGATGTATAGACTAACACATGCCAATTTTGATAATCTCAATGGTGTTGGAGATAACTCTAAAAGATAAGTTATTGTTTTTGTTGATGCTGGATTTTGACACCAACTATTCGCACGTGAAAAATGCTAAAGAGAATTAGAAGTCACACGTGATATGAGGGTATTGAATTTAATAAAGGGTGAAAGGCGATGTTTAAAGTGGTTCGGATGCTCAAAAGCGAATCCTACGTACACTGATATTGTATTAATGAAAGTAAGGTCAGGTCGCGTTAAGCGAGCTGAGTTATAGCTTAAAGAATACAAGAGAGAGAGAGAGAGAGTAAATAAGCTATGCTGAAGTAAAATTAGCCAATCCCTGCCAATGAGAGAGAATGTCTCTATTTATAGTGGGGTAAACCAAGGTAATGATTACTAAATCTGCAAGTAGGTAGATACCCTGCAAATCCTTCTCTGCGTCCCATTGCTCACCTGTCCAAGTGATTTCCTCGACTTATGCAAAGATTGGATACGTGAACGATCCCCAGGTGCTGACTGGCATGACACCCCCCTGCTATACTGACATGAGCCATACCACTTGTGCTAGGTGCGACGTGGCTGCACTTGGACGGCACAGAACCTCTTTGAGCTCTGACCATCCTTTACTGATGAGACTCCACATCAGCCCTACCTGTTAGGCATAACAGTTTTTTAGATTTTTCAAAATTTTTTTTTTTTCTGAAAAATAATTCTAAAGTGAATGTGTTAAAAATATAACCCTATCCTCTCGACGATACAGTACGTTGAGGCCTAAAACAAAATAACTTCTTATTGTTCATATATATTTTAACTTTCCTCTATAAAGAATCAAATACAAGAACGTGGAAACATTTTAAAAGGCAGGGACAAAAGAAATGACTTTTTTAAAAAAAAAAGTTTTCTAGGATCAATTCTATGGGCCAATTCTGAATCCAGGAGTTTCCCCTTTTCAATGGTGGATTTTCTAAAGCTAAAAACTATATAAAATAAGCTTACAAATATCATTACAACTTCCCTTCTATAGTAATATCTATTATAAAATAACATTGTTGAAATCATTAATATATCAATATATGTTACTTGATTAAACAAGTTGCTACAATTATTAAAGTGTATTATAGACCGACACTTTTTAATCAATCAAAAGTTTCAAAAAAGAACCTTTTGAATTAAAGCATCTTTTAAGTTAAAAATTCCTAGCTTTTTATCTCAATGAAATATAATATTAATAAATTGAGTATATTTTAACCAGAGGTGGGGTCTGGGTACCTGTCCAATTTCAAAGGAACCGAAACAGGAATAGGCCGATTCCTAGCTTTTGGAACCCGAACCGGAACTGTCGGTTCCGGTTCCTTAATTCCTGGAACCCCCCTACTATTTAAAAAAATGACAAACATACCTGTAAAAATTACAATACACCCCCAAAATTAAAATTACATATAATTGTTTTCTCTCTCCTCCCTCGTTATTTCCTCTAATTCTCCTAATCAACTCTTCTCTCACTTGGACTCTACCAGACTACCACACGACCTGCACCATTTGCGATCTGAAGCTGCAAATTAATGGAGCTCCCAAGTTCTCAGGTGGAGTGTGCAGAGAATGAGAACAATACTACTACTCCTCAAGTCAATACTCAATACTAACTGCAAGCCATTTACTGAGCAAAAGCAAGAATTACAAATTGTAATTAATAAGTGGAGGTGAAGCTATCAACGCAATCTCTTTTTAAGTAACTTTTCTTAAGTGTAAGTACTCAATTGGTCAGTGAAAGATTAGGGTTATCTGAAAATCTGCTATATTTGCTACTATTTACTCACATGAAGTTGCTGTAGATAATTTTATTTTTCTTTTTAATTTCTTGACTATTAATTAGCATTCCTGCTTTAATTTACAGAAGCTTTAGCTCTACCTTTTCCTCACCACCACCACCATCTCAAACACCTCCAACGCTTCCTCCTCAAACTCCTAGATCGGCCGGCTCCCTCTCTCTTCACTTTGCCTTTTCCCCAATATTAAAATTACATATAATACCTTTTTTTCTCAGGTTGTATGGTTGATTTTGCTGGTTTGGATGTATTTGGGTGCATATTTTTGCAAGTTGATTTTGCTGGTTTGAATGTATTTGGGTGTATTTGTCTGCAGGTTGTATGCTTGACTTGATTTTTTTTCGTTTTGATGTGGTTTGTAGTTAAGAGATCTGGATTTTTGGTACTGTGAATGTGATTTGGTTTGCGATGTTTGATTTCATTTTCATTAGTCCCGGTGGCGCTTTCTTTTCCGTCTCTTCTTCTTCTCTTTGTTCCGGTTCCGGGTCTCAGTTCCTACAAGGATGGAACCGTAACTAGAACCATGCAGTATTGGTTCCGGGTTTTTGAAACCGAAATCGACCCTATGGTGGTCGATTTAGGGTACGAACTAGAACCAAAACCTAGGTACGTCGGTTTGGGTTCTACCCTACGTTTTTTCGCTCACCCCTAATTTTAACGATGAAACAACAAAATCTTAAAATTTTAAAGTAAATTTAGATTATGAAAAAAAAGTAATGTTTTAACATAGAATATAATAAAGAAGCCCAAGAGGGCTCGGTGTGCGCGGCCATGCCAAGTTTGGGTAAAACAACTCACTGTTAAAAGCTAACCAAGGCGGAGAGAGTCTAACAACGTATATATATCATCACAACCTACTAAATTGGTGATATATAACTTGTTTACGCGTATTTTAATTAATTTTTCGAGACACTGAAGTTAACGACATGATAAATCTCTTTAGTAGTCACTCTCGTTAGGGCCTATGGAAACTCAAACTTAAACTCAGAAACTCTTGTTGGACCCTTTTGCCCTTTTACTATCACACTACCTAGTGGTGGTTTCTTCTATTGCATCAGATAATTCTTGTTTATATTTGAACTTTATATAAAATGTAAAATGAATCATATTCTATCAAGCATGTCCGCACACAAAAAGCTTAATTTTGAGAGATTGAAATTCACATAATTGCAGCCATTTCTGTTGGTAAATTCTGATTCCATTTTTGTACCAAGAAAGTAAAAGAGAATAAATAAAAATTCTCATTTGGTCACACTTTAGAATAAATTCTATCTTTGCTTTGTCCCTCCTTTACTATTTGAGCTTAGCTTGATACAAAGAACCGAGATATGAACTCTTTTCTCTGTCCATCAGTTTCTGATGATGAAGATGCGTAGAGAAAATCATGGTCGACAGCTGAGACTTCCACTGACTAAATCGTCATGGAAAAATTTGTATTTGGCGTTGTTTAGAAGCGAATCAATTACACATGGAATTATAACAAGACAGACTGCTTCAAATTTGCATCGCTTTGTTATTCATCCACATAATCGGTTAGCAAATCTTTCGATGCTTCGCCGTCTTTATTATTATTTTTCTTTTGTGATCGGGGGTGTCCAAACCAGTTTGCGCGTACCTCAACTAATCTTTCGAGACTCTAAAGTTGACAATCGAATAACCATCGTTACCATTGCTATTCGTTCTTCTGAAATTTTGATTCGACGAACATGCAGGTGGTATTTGGCATGGAAGTTTTTCATAGTGATAAACGCAGCATACTCTTCTTTCTTCACCGCATTAGAATTTGGATTCTATCGAGGGCTGCCGGAGAAGCTCTTCGTACTCGATATCGCGAACCAGATTGCTTTCCTAGTCGATATAGTTGTTCATTTTTTTGTTGCATATCTTGACACTAAATCCTACCGGATGGTCTATAGTCACAATCTCATTGCACTAAGGTGATGATCTGATCTCTTACCCAATTTCATGCATATATACAAATAATTTTGATAATTTTCTTACTGTTTCTTTTCTTAATTATAGGTATTTGAAATCTCGATTTTTTGTTGACTTCCTCGGATGCCTGCCGTGGGATGCCATCTACAAGGTACCATTATGATTTTATTTTATTTTTTCCGATGTTTTATGTGATACTTATATATTAATGTTTGATCGTCGTTACCTAAAAACTTAAATTTTTAGTTCAAATAGTATCACCTAATTTAGTATCAGAGATAAACTCTTTAGGTTTCAATAATACATCTTGTTTCTCCTTTATCTCTTTCTTGAGGGTCTAACCTATCTTTCAGTTTATCGGTTATTTACGTATAAAAGGGTTTACAAAGGCTTGTTAAACTTAAATATTTAGGGTTGGTTTTATTTTTTTTTTAGTATATGAGGTTATCTGACCAGTTTGTGCGTATCTTAATTAGTCTTTCGGGACCCTGAAGTTAACGACTAGGTAAATCTCCAGTGGCTACCCCTTATTAGTAATCGTAAGGATTCAAACTCAGAACCTTTTGTGTAATATATCTAAATGTCCTAAGTGAACCGAGAGATAGTTTATGGTTGGAATTAACTTTACCTATAAACGTATACCATTGAGTCAAGTCATTACTTAATAGCTTTTATTTATAATTTTTTGAATTAACAAAATTTTCAATTAAGCTTAACACTTTGATTAATTGTGAATACGACAGGTTAGTGGGAGAAAAGAGGCAGTGAGGTATTTAGTATGGATTAGGTTAAGCAGGGCAACCAGAGTGACAGAATTTTTTGCCAGGCTAGAGAAAGACATCAGAATTAATTATCTATTTATAAGAATAATAAAACTATTGGTTGTTGAGCTCTACTGCACACATACAGCTGCTTGTATTTTTTACTATCTAGCCACCACCGTGCCTCCCTCCAATGAAGGTTACACTTGGATTGGAAGCTTGAAAATGGGTGACTTTTCTTACTCTAACTTCAGAGAAATTGATCTATGGAAGCGTTATACTACATCCCTATACTTCGCCATTGTTACCATGGCAACTGTTGGTAATTAATCTTCCATCTCTTTTATATGTTCGATTCATTATGGTGAATTGTTGATGTATATAAATACTTAGCGGCTTTCTGGGATTGTATACCGTCGAAAATCCTAAAGGTTGGGTGTCTTGATTTTTTTTAATATTCTAACAAAGTTTTCTCACAAATTTGGTTCAAAATTATAAAAAAATCAAGTCTTTTGTATTAAATAGTCTATAGTACAAGTCAGTTAAGGTTTAGTAAAGTAATTATTACATTTAATAACTACTGAGCACAATTAATCTAAAGATAGATGAGAGAGTAAAAACCAGTGATTGGGAACCCGGCGCAATCCGACTGGTTGAACCGGTTCAACTGTGACTTGTCGCCTTCACTAGGTTGGGTTACAAATTTTCCTATTCATTCAAAACCCTAGAAATTATGACTTTAATCCATGAATAATTGAAGGCTGAAATGTTAAGGTTTTTGACAAGAAATAGCCGGTGAGTGGAATGGTGGCAATGACATTAATTTTTGGTGAGTGAATTGACCGAAAATCGCAAAACAATGTCTCTGGAAAAAGCCCGTTGTCGTTGACGATTGGGGAAGGCGAACAGAGGAAGGGTGAGATGAGTTTTGGTCAGGAGGCTGAGGGGAGTGTTTTTGTGGTGATGGAGAGTGTTGTCGTCATTGGAAACATACCCTATTTACCAATGCCGATGGTGGTGTTTGGGGTGTTTTTGTAAGATTTCAAACCATGGGGACATACAATAATTTTTAGGGGTGTTTTTGTTATATTTCAAACCTCTAGACAGTGGTTTGACCCTCCGGTCAAACCGGTTAAAGCGCTGGATCTGTGACCCGGTGGCCTGGCCGGGTCATTGCAAAAGGTTTTTTTTTTTGGGCCCAATTCTTTGTTAAAATTAAACTTTGACCCCCTAAGCAAAATTTCATACTCCGACGCCAAGCCTGAGGTAGCATAATGTAATCTATCGAGTGTATTTCTATACTAAACCATATCTAATATTCGTGTATCAGATCATGTGATTATTATGTGATTATAATGCAGGCTATGGAGATATACATGCAGTGAATGCAAGAGAAATGATATTCATAATGATTTTTGTCTCCTTCGACATGCTTCTTGGTGCTTATTTACTTGGCAACATGACTGCATTGGTAGTAAAAGGATCAAACACAGAAAGGTTCAGAGACAAAATGACTGATATTATCAAATATATGAACAGAAACAATCTCGAAAACCAGTTAAGTAATAGAATTAAAGATCATTTGAGACTACTTTACGATAGCCACCGCGATCACGAGTCTCAAGTTCTTCAGGATATTCCACCCTCAATTCGCACAAAGGTCGTAATTCTCAGATTTTCATTATAATTTTCCACCTATTTTTGAGCTTTTATCGTATAGTTATTTATTTTCTTTTGTTGCAGATCTCGTATAAATTATATGAACCGTGCATTAAGGATACATCTATTTTCAGAGGCTGCTCTTCGGGGTTCATTAAGCAGATTGTAAGCTAAAATCTAGACTATCACAGGATACTACAATAATCGAATTCGTAATAGAATTCTGGTGAGGTGTCTTATCCAATTTTTTTTTTTTTTTTTTTTTTTTTGGATTTATCAGGCAATTAAAGTCCATGAAGAAATTTTTCTCCCAGGGGAAGTGGTTATAGAACGAGGAAATATAACAGATCAATTATATATTGTCTACCATGGTGACTTGGTAATTTTCATTTGATATATTTATTTTATACAAACTATTTGATTGAAAAGATCTATCTTGACTTGAGAGGTTTTGACATTTTTTTACAGGATGAAGTACAGAAAGGAGAAGATGAAGAAGAAGAAGATGAAGATGAAGAAGATGAAGAAGAAGAGAGTACTGTTAAGAGTGTGCAATCTTGTAACTCATTTGGGGAAGTTTCTTTTCTATGCAACATTCGTCAGCCTTCTACTATTACAGCTCGTGAACTATCCAGGGTGTTGCTTCTTGATAAGATATCCTTCATGCAAATCCTTGATATATACTTTTCTGATGGTCACATCATCCTGGAAAACCTCCTTGAGGTAAAATATAATATTTAACTTAATTTCTTTGATCCTTTATTTTGGTCCACATGGTTGTTTCAATGTCTTTGGATTCGTTCTCAGAGTCCTCTCTCTCACGTTGAGTCATTGTAAATGTCAGGAAAAGGATGCCAATCTACGGAACAAGATATTGCAGTCCGATTTCACCCTCTATATGGAAAAGCATGAATCAGAGATAGCTACAAGACTAAATTGTGCTGTCAGTGAGGGGGATTTTCCTCGCCTAAAACGCTTGATTGGAGCCGGTGCTGATCCCAATAAGACAGATTATGATGGACGATCACCTTTGGTATGACTTTACGTGACTCAAGACACGTCTACTTATTTGAGATTCATAGTTATTATTTTCTTGCCTTTCTACAGCATATTGCTGCGTCCAGAGGGTATGAAGATATGACAGTTTTCCTTATTGAAAAAGGCGTGGGCATCAACATTTCAGGTCAGCTTTCATCTTCATAAACAGTTTGTGTTTTGCGCTTCCAAAGAATTTCCTGTAAACACATTCTGTTTCGTCCTTCTCTTTCAGATAAGTCAGGAAATACCCCCTTGCTTGAAGCTGTTAAAAATGGGCATGATCAAATAGCTTCTCTACTTTCCAATGCCGGGGCGTCGCTTATAGTAGATGATGCCGGTGATTTTCTCTGTAAAATCGTTGCAAGGAAAGACTTGGATCTCCTAAAAAGAGTTTTGGCCCATGGCACAAACCCAAATTCTAAGAATTATGATCACAGAACACCACTTCATATAGCTGCCGCAGAAGGGCTTCTCTCATTTGCAAAATTACTGATAGAAACAGGAGCTAGTGTTTTCGTCAAGGACAGGTACGTACCATTCTTGTTTATCAGTAAGAATTTAAAATCTAGACTCCTATTAGATGGTATCGATATTCACTAAAAGACAACGATATGGCTGACTTCTAGTCAACAAGACCTTGTTGAATGGGAGGATCATCTCTTATAAATTACTAGGCTTGAGCATGTCTAAGCCTAGACAGTGTAGCCATATGTTTTGCCTGTTGTAGTCATATGTTATGCTTATTAATAGAGATAGTTACTGGCTCTAACTCTTTATCTGCTGGTCAAGCACTCAACTCAACTGGGCCTTGAGTGTGCTTAGTCGCTATGGGACTCTAACACTCCCCCTCACAGTTAAGCCCATATATTGGGTTATGTCTATTGATGGAGGTAGTTGTTAGCTTTAACTCTTCACTTGCTGATCAAACACTCAGCTCAACTGGGCCTAGCTTTGATACTATGATATAATTTGAGACGAGTCTGACTTCTTATCCAATAAGACCTTGTTAAATGGGAGAATTGTCCCATTCTTATAAATCAGTAGGTTTGAGCATGTCTAATCGGTGTGAGACTCCAACGGCAAAATAAATTTTACAATTTTTAACATTAAAATTGTAAAAATTTGCAGATGGGGAAACATTCCACTTGATGAATCACGTATAAATGGAGACAAGAATATGATGAAGCTACTTGAAGTTGCAAGAACTTCTCAGATGTTTGAGTTCTCCATTTGCCATCAGAAAATTCAAGGTACTAATTCCAAATCTTCATCCTCAGGAAATTTGCACAAACTGAGAGATTAAACGACTGAATTTTTTTATTGTCAATGGCAGATAAGTTGCAGCGAAGAAAATGCACAGTGTTTTCCTTCCACCCATATGATCTGAAGGAGAGGGAGAGAAGGAAGGAAGGAATTGTTTTATGGGTTCCTGAAACCATGGAAGAGCTTATTGGTGAAGCAAAGGAGAAGTTGAAATGTGCAGGTGGTTCTTGTATTTTATCTGAAAATGGAGGGAAAATTCTTGACATAAACATGATTAGTGATGAGCAGAAGGTGTTTTTGGTTACTGAAGAATTAGCTGAGTAATTAAATAATTTTTATTTCAAGTAAAATTAGATGTGTAGAAAATTGGGAACCTGTCATCTTTTTAATTTATACAATGTCTTTTGAAGTTAAACCGTGGTCCTGATTTTTTTTCCTTTTTTCGATAGTCGGGGTGTTTGGGCCATCTTGCGCGTATGCAATTCAACTAATCTAAGCTCAATAGATCAGATATCACAAATGTAATAAGTAACTATTTTGTGTGACCCGAATACACCTCTGGGTAACCCACAGTTTCGCCATCTGTCCATAAGTCAAATAGTTAAAAAAAATAACACAAATTTTAAAATAGTTTAAGAAGGAAGAAATCTTCATTACAAAACAATTAAATTTGACATTTAACAAGGGTAAAAGTGGTATTTATAAACTTGGTATATTTATCAATTTTATATAATCGTAAATATTAATAATTAGAAAGATAATTTTATATTAAATAATAATGAAACTGCTTTATTTTTAACAATGATTAAATTTTTTTTTTTTTTTTTTTACCTTTGGCCCCCATCTTTTATCTTCAATAGGGGTATAATAGTATTTAGAAAAGTAATTAACAATGGTGTTATACATAGTAAAAAATATTAAGAAGGATTCATATACATGTTTATTGTTTTGCTTAAGATCCCAAATCTTCTAATATATTATGTTTTTATGAAGTTGTCAACTCTAAAAACACTCCAAAAACTAACATAAATACTTTGTTTGATTTGGGTTCTAGTATTTTTTTTTTTTTTGGTGACGGGGTTGTGCGGACTGGTTTGCGTGCACTTCAACTAATCCTTTCGGGTTTTGAAGTTAACAGTCGGATAAATCCCCTCAATGACCACATCTATTATCAATACATGTAGATCAAACTCAGGACCTCTTAAGTAATACACCTAAGAGTCCTAATTGACTATTGGACTATATGATCACTTTTCCATTTAAACTATGTAACTCGTAACAGTACTTCAAAATATAAAACTTAGGGTTTCTTTTAAGTCTAGGAAGATATGAGATCTAAAATAAAGAACATTAAGTGGTTTTGATAATTAACATAATGAATTTTAATTTACTTGTGAAAAGTTGAATTCTGATTGACCTAAATTCTTTAATTATTTTGTTAACTACAAATTCAAAGCTTTGAAATAAAAGTATAGAGAAAATACTTTTATTACAATTATATTCTCCTTATAGTAGAAGATGGGGGCTAAAAAATTAATTTAGCGAGGACTAAAAAATATTTCTCCAACTACCTCTGGGTAGTTTGATGGTTTGTTTGAGACTCTTGGGTGTATTACTCACAGTTTTGAGTTCGAATCTCTATGATTACTAATAAGGGATAGCCATTGGAGGCTTACTTGGGTGTTAACTTCAAGATCCAGAAAACTAGCTGGCTTGGATACCTCGGATACCAAAAAAACAAAAAAAAAAAAAAAATATTTCTCCAATTGGAATGCTATGGATCGGTTGGCCCAATATATTAGCAGGCCTAGTTAAAAATATGAAAACACAGTGCATTTTCTCCTTCACCTTTTAGATCAATAACTTTACAATTGTTAAAAAGAGGCCCAATTGAAATGCATATTCATAACTTTACCTTCGCCGTTAAGGCAACCCATCACATTAAGCCTTGAGTCAACAACAAGCAAAGGATCCACTCCACCTCATTCTAAATACCAATCGTTTTGACCGCTGAATCGGTTGAGCCATGGCGTTACAGTGGATAATTCTCACTTACGTGGTGGCAGCTGAGGCCGCCATCGCCCTTCTCTTGACCGTCCCTGCACCAAAACTCTTGAAGAAACGTTTTGTTTCTCTTATTTCCTTTATTCTTCAGCCGTGCCTCTTCGTCGTCCCCTTCGCTTCGTTTCAGCTTCTGGGTAATTTCATTTTTCTTCTTTTTTTTTTTTTTTGAAGTTTCTGATTCAATTTTGGGGAAATTAATTGATTATGAACGGTTGGTTGGCTGTGGTTTTGTAGATCTCTATTGGAAGAACGAGCATCGGTTGATGTGTACCTCTGAGATCTGCACGGCTGCTGAGCGAGATCGATATGAGAGATCTGTAAGTTTTTTTTCGTCGGGGAGTATATTGTATGATTCAGAAACTTTAAGGTCTCAATTTGCTGCACCTAACCTCATGGAGGCATATGTATGTATAACATATGGGTCTTATATGACTGTCTGGTTGGGAAAAATGTGCCTCCGTCCAATCAATGCATGTATAACATATGCGAAATTTTGTGGTCATTGGACGAACACACATGCGTCTTTCTTAATAAAGATTTTTTCGTGTTAAAAGTGGTAGTGATGTTGATGCTAGCATAAGCTTGAACTGCTCATATCATGGATGGATTTTACATGAAGGAAATATTGATTATTCTGAGAGTTGTGAGTTTCCTAGCTTAAGAAAAGCATATTAAATAAGAACTATTTACTCTCTGATAGGTAACATTTCATTTTAACAGTGTAAAAGTATAATTGGAAAAAAAAAAAAGAGATGATTTTATACTGTTATAGGGTATCTAGGATCTGTTTTCTTGTTGGAGTCAAAACTTGTGAGATCATTTACGCAAAAAAAATTTATGAGATTTAAGATTTCTATCTGGATTCTATGTAAGGCTTTCTTGGGGCAGAAATGATTAGAGCTTTTAATGGTTTTTTTTCCCCAATACATCACAAAGAATAGCAGCCAAGGGTTCTCAAACCTTAGTTTTCAAANAATAGGTAACATTTAATTTTAACAGTGTAAAAGTATAATTAATTTTTTTCTTAAAAGATGAGTTATACTTTTATAGGGTATCTAGGATTTGTTTTCTTGTTGGAATCAAAATTTATGAGATTTACCTCTACCTTTGTGGCCGGATGGCAATCCCTTTAGTTACAGAGGTTTATCGGGTTTACCCAAAAATAATAATAATGATAAATAATGACATCTAAGATCTCTATCTGGATTCTATGTAAGGCTTTCTTGGGACAGAAATGATTAGAGCTTTTAATGGTTTTTTTTCCCCAATACATCACAAAAGAATAGCAGCCAAGGGTTCCCAAACCTTAGTTTTCAAATTTAAGTGAAAGTGGGAGGTGCAATGACTAGAAAGTTTTATCTTTGCCATTAGTCTTATAGTTTGGCAGAGTTTTTTGGAGAGTCAAGGTGCCCACATTGTATTTAAAGTGTTTTGAGATTATGCATGGTGAACAATGAAAATGTTCAATAGTAGGCTATACTTGATGGTATGTAAAAGTATAATGGTTTTATAGAACCTATGAACTTGCAGACTGTGTTGTTCATACACTGGGACTTGGAAACTTATTGAAAAACATCATTACGAACAATAAATACTGTAGATATAAAAATCTACCTATACGGAAAGGGGGGTCTGATCCCGTGAGGTTGAGGCCACCAGCGATCTGCTGTACTGCACATGTAGAGAAACACACGCGTGAATCGAACGGGAAACACCAGGGTGGTGTTTGCCGTAGGCACTCCGACGCTCAAGTCAGCAAGGCTGAAAGGCTAATATAGTGAGGGCTAGGGAATAAAAGGTTACCAAAAATATAGTCGGGGACTGTGACTACGGCAATGATGCGAAACTCTTAAGTCAGAGCTTTCGGTGTGAAGGTTGAATCCCTCTTGTGAGAGGGCTGGCCTCTGCTTATATAGTCACTGTCTGGTTTCCCAATCCTGGTAGAAGTAGGAGTCCTAGTATGACTCTAATGCAAACCCTAGAAGAATTAGGGCCGTAGTGAGCTGTCTTACCAATGTCCGAATAGGAAGATGATTCTGATTAGGAGAGTAACTCCAAATAGGAAAGTGATCAGGAATGGGAGGTATTATGAGTTCGTGGGCTCTATACTCGCCCATGGACTTGGGAAATGGGCTGGGATTAGGAGGCTCGTGCCCACGTGGTCTGGGCCGGCTACACATTGTACCGAATGGGCCTAACCCGGTAGGGTCATATCAGGATTGGGCTTCGCTGCTTCTTCANAAATACCATATCAGTTGGTCCCGCTGGTTTTGAGAGTGCCCAACTTTTTTGGAGTCAATCATTCAAACGATATTGGTTGCCCTTCGTGGTAGGGGAGAGAGAGATTGACATCATTTGGGGTTTAAGTTGGTGCTTTCGAAATGTTGTTTTAGATGCGAATGCTTGTAGTGGATATGTAGAAATTTGAGGGTGAAAGCTGATTATGATTATCAAGATTTCCAGTCTCTTTTTCTATGTTTCTTCTAAGTGATTGAACGGAAAGAGAAGAGCCAAATACTTAAAACTGATGCCTTAATGTATTTTTAGTTTATGCAAATGGGATCGGTTACAATGGTTCTGTTAGTTTCTGAATAAATGCTTATAGATAAAAGATAGTTTTGTGAATTCTTCAATCCTTGTAGCTTCATCTGACTGTTAGCAGTTATTTCATATCTTTTGAAGATTGTCTCCATAAATTCAATGGGCCTTGAGCTTATGTGAATTTTCACAATATGTTCTCTCTCATTTTCTCCCAACATCGTATTTGAGTATGTGCATTAATGGGCGTTAGGAAGCAAGAATCCTTGCTTTTTTTACTTTGTAATTGAATTTCTTTGTTTGAAGGAATGCTAAATCTGATATGTATTTCTTGTACGGGTCTTAAATTAGTCAATTCTTACAGTTTTTCAACCCCAACACCCTATTTCATGGAGCCATTTCTTTCCTTTTCTTTTTCTCCCCAAAATTTCTATGAACTTTTCGTCTTTACACTTTGTATATTAGAATGTTATACACTTAACATTGAGGTATCTTATGCAGATATACAAAGCTCAAGGGAACGTGATTCTGTGTGTTGCAGCATGCTTTCTTTACTGGTATGTTGCATTAATCTACCAGCCTAACCTTCATAAAACTTCCTTTAGCAATTATACCCATGATTTAAATAATAATTTGCCTTTGAATGTGGTTGTAGGTCTATCTACCGCATTTGCAAATTTTACAATGAAATTCAGAGTTTGGAGGAAGTAGAAAAGAGATACAAGGATGAGTAAACTTCTCATCTGCGTCCCTCTTTTAAATTTAGTGTGGATGAATGTGTTGATTTACGGTAAACTTTGCATTGAAACTTGACATTTCCTTCTGGATTTATGTCACAAATTTCATATACTTGTGTGTTAGTGTATCGGTGTCCTCTGGCGGACTGTTTTTTTCTTGTAGCTCTGAAGCTGCTGCAGCGTGTTACAATGGAAGCTAGAGCATGAATATAATTCACCCTAAAGTTTCTTTATAATTGTTGTGCTGCAGCCTTTTTCTCTTTTTTATTGAATAATGNATTGGGCAGAACCTACCCGAATGCCACTTCTCCTCCTCGTCGCGGCGAAGCTTCTTCTTCGCCCCGGCGAAGATTGGATTTCCAACTTCACCAAAACTTAACCAATTTTCAAGGCAACAATTCAACCAACTCCACATACAAACTCAATTTAAGTTAAAACAATAAACTTTTAACTAATACAACAACTCTTAAATACGTACCTCAAGTGGGATATTACAATGTGAAGGGATTAACATGAATCTTCCTACATAGCAATCGTATATTAACAGAGTTCCTAAGATCTTATGTGGCATCCTACGTGAAGTCCAAAGAGAGGGTGGGCTTCAAGATTATATAGATATATAGATTGTGGAAATTGATAATTAAATTTTATTTAATAGGAATTATTATTTGATTGTGATCTTCTAGAAAATCAATGGTCACTAGTAAATTATAAATTATTCCCTTCATGTGGGGATGAACATTGCATTTGCGGGTTCGGAATATAGATCCATATCAATATATATATATTTTTTTTTTGTTTTAATGATTGGAGCGTTCGGAAAATTTGTGCAAATCTCAACTATTTTTTAGAGATTTTGAAAATTATCAGCCGAATAAGAGTTATAGTAGCCACCAATATTAACAATCTTAGAGTCTCGAACTCGAGAGACAAAACTATTGGCCAAATAAGGTAGTAATTTATGTGTTCCTAATAGGGGTGACCACTAAGGGGATTTATCCGATTGTCAACTTCAGGGTCCTGAATGATTAGTTGAGGAGCGCGCAAGCTGGCCCGGACAGTCCAATCACCAAAAAAAATATTAAATAAATTTATGTGCTAGTTCTCTCTTTATAGTATTTGTCATGGATCACAATTCATATCACATGGCCTGATTTAGGTTGTCCGGTATTACATGGTTTGTCCATTTTTGAGCAAATTTCAAATTTTGGCTTGACTTGTTTGGGATAAGTTGATGGGATATATAATAAAAATCATAAACTTTATTGAAAATTGATTCAGAGTTGTTTGTGTGGTACTTATGCAAGCATGTTGATAATGGATAAATATGCATAATTTTAAATATTATGTGTATATACTTAAAACAAAATAAGTGTGTACAATGTAAATTTAGTTACAAATAACCCCACTTTTTGGTTCTACCTTAAAAATTTGGTGTTAGAAATAAGGGTATAAAATTAACATCTAACAAATTTGACATCCAAGTGATTAAAGAAAAAACTTCAAGGAGCAACTAGATTTATGGCTTTATGAATTAGAGTAGATCATGCATATGTACCTGCAAACCTTTAAAAGAAGAGGTATAAAACCTAATCTCACAACCTTCTCTCACAATCTCCGACAGCTCGCAACTTGTCAGCTGGCAAATAGGTCTCACCTGCTTATTATGGGTTCTGTCTGTCCATTTGCGAGTTGGCTAGTTACGAACTTTCATGTAAAGGGTTGTGAGAGAAGGTTGTAAGAACGGATTGTGGACCTAACATTTTTGTTAAAAGAAGGAAAAAGATTCCATGTAATGGTTGTACAAACAATTGACTAATCAAAAGATGTCACATCAAACCTCGAGTGTTAGTTTACAACTTTATGAATACAACCGTGTCATAGATATATACTAGTAAACTAGGAGAACAAGAAAAACTTTGTTATTTCAATTGTACATACAATCAACCAATCAAAAGAAAAAAAAAAGCTACTCATAATTGATTGTACATAGAATCATCAATAAAATTTTATTTAACTTTTTTCTTGATGGACAGTTTATACAACCAAAGGAACCAAATATACAATTAATAAATAATAAAAATTGATAACTAAAAAACAAATATTGTATGTTGATTCGTTGAAACATGCGCAAATAACATAAAGAAAAGAGATAAAATGGCAATGCTGTAATATAATCTAGCAAATATGGTTTAAAAATAAGATGAAGAGTAAAGATGAATACGTGTCATTACATTAAAGAGAGAATGAGAGAGGGAGTGAAAGACTCAATAATTTTGCTTCATTTAACATGCCCTCGGCATCTGGAACCGTACTGGTTTCAGATAAATATATTTTATCCCGCTCTCGTTTCCCTTGAGATTGTATTATTTAACCCTAAACCCACAAAATACTAAGCCAGTTTGAACCCCAGATAATCCACAAACACCGCTACTCAAATGGCGTCCAAAACCTTTCTTCGTCGTTGTTATTTTTCTTCTGAAACCAACATCTCATCTTTATTGACAAATTCATGTAAAGTGATCGACTACAACTATACCACAAGATTCAGTATATAACGTTGAAGAGGTAGCGAGGCTTGATAAATTCCTTGAAAAAGACTGTAAAGAAGGTAATATCACTCTTGATGAAGCGCGCTATTTCTTTTGTTTAATGATTCATATGCAACCCAAACCACTGATTTCATCATTCAACTGGTTTTTTGGAGCTCTTGCTAAGAAAAAGTTTTATGAAGACGTTATTTTGCTTTACAAGAGAGTGGGTTCAACTGGCTTGTTGTTGGATTTTATTACTTTGAATATTTTAATTAATTGTTTTTGTAATATGGGTAGAGTATGTGATGGTTTTGTTGTTTTTGGGAGGATTTTAAGCTGGGGTTTTAGCCCAAATGTTGTGACTTTGACTTCTTTGATTAAAGGGTTGTGTTTGGAGAATAGGAGTTCAATAGGTTGTTCAAATTGATGAGTCAAAGAGGTTTGCAGCCTGATTTGGTGGCATTTAATACAATGATTAATGGGCTTTGCAAGGTGGGGAAGATGGAGGAAGCTTATGGGTTTTTTGAATTGATGAGTCAAAGGGGTTTGCAGCCTGATGTGGTGACATTTAATACAATGATTAATGGGCTTTGCAAGGTGGGGAAGATGGAGGAAGCCAATAGGTTGTTTGAATTGATGAGTCAAAGAGGTTTGCAGCCTGATTTGGTGACATTTAATACAATGATTAATTGGCTTTGCAAGGTGGGGAAGATGGAGGAAGCTAATGGGTTTTTTGAATTGATGAGTCAAAGAGGCTTGTAGCCTGATGTGGTGACGTTCACTACAATGAGTTGTTGGAATTGATAAGTTTTACATTGACCAAAGCTTATCAAGAATATCCATCAATCAAAAGAAAAATGCAACACTAGAACTAATTACTAATTAGTGTTCCAAGAGTTGATTTCTAAGGATTTGATCTCGATTTCTAAGGATTTGATCTCAATTTCACCGAAGCTTTGCTTATACGATTTCCGGTGTGAAGCATGTAAGCAGGGTGTTTTAGTTGATGAAATGGCGGTCGTTGTGAAGAGACTAGGAGATATATATTGAGGAGAAGAAGCGTTTTAGGCTGAAGTGAGTACAACTTGGAAACTCTTTCACATGAACCAGGCTGCAAAATTGTTGTTGAAATTTGCATGTTTGGTATGGAAGAAGATAGAAACATGAGACCAGAATGGATTCAACAGTCAAGGCTCATTCATAATGAGAAGCTGAAACTGAAGTCAACTATGTGGAAAATTAATAGCTGCAATAGTTGAGGTATAATTTGTTTTCTGTTTTTGGTATGTTTTTGTTTATAAGGATTTCCAAGATGAATATTTTGATTATATAAAAGAATTAACTCATGGATTTGCAAATGTTTAAGCAAAATATATATATATATTATATATATATATAATATATATATGGTTTAGACTTTTTAAATGAAGAAGACGGTGTTTAAGGGTTGTTTGGTATTTGCATGAAACTTAGTGTTAGTAATCAGAACATCCAAAAGGAAAGCTAAATTTGAGGATGAATTTCTTAATATAAAAATGTTTAATGAACTAACCTCATCAAATCATATGATCGAAATCCAAAAGACTCCCAACTAAAAAACGTTCATAATTATCTCAAAAACCTTTAAAACCCTTAAAAGTTAAAAACTAACACAAACCACCCCAAAAAGTACAGATATTTCACATTTCATTCAGCTACCACCAAAGCCACGGAATTAAGCTAAATAACTGGTTCAACACACACAAGTGGGTTTATGTAGTAGAAAGAAGCAAACTAGTTATATCACAATCATATGATCTTTATCCATTAGGTTTCATTGATAGGTAAATAAATAAAAACTCTTTGTTATCTAAAAATCAGTAAAACCCCTAAAGTTTAAAAACTAATAGAAGAAAAAAAAAAAAAAGAATGAATGTTATATGAAGAACGGATATTGGGTAGCGATGAAATCTATGAAAAATAAATTTTTAAAAAATTAGGAAAAAAAAAAAAGTGGGAAGTTTGTGTTTTGTTGTGTCTTGACTGGTTTTACAACCAGAATGTTCAACTGTTTTCTTTTGTTTCTGTTGTTGATACTTGGTAATTTATTTGAAGCAATAGTGGAAGAGAGGGAAAGCTAGACTGATTGTGATAGGGACGGACAACTATGTTTTATTAAAAAACTAGATAGAAAGCCCGCGCGTTGTGCTTGTATGTTTATAGAATTTTTTTACATTATTGTTAATTGTTTGTCTGGCATTAAATTATTTGTATTGAAGTTAATTTTATGTTGAATTGATAATTAAAGAAATAAATAATAAAAATATTATATAACAAATAATGAGTATTAAATTTGTACATATTTTAAATATATATTTAATGTTGGTGTAAAGATACTGCACAGGTTCTAGTAGTTGTATCTCCACCCATTTAAAACATAAAACAAACTCTTTGTTCTTGACCTTCTTCTTTATTTTTTCTTTCTGAAAATAATTAATAAATTGGAGCTCCTGGCCAAGTCTTCTCATATTGTATTGCACCATAAAATCGTTTAACTCTTATAGTAAAATTACCAGTACCAAAAATTTTAAGCTATATATCTATCAACTTAACTGTCCAAAACCAAATAAAAAACTTTTACTTTAGCACATAAAACATATGTAAATCAATCTAACTTCTACAATTCATCTTATTATCTGACATATCATTTTCTCTTTTCATCA